GCCTCGGCATCACCCCAACCGACGACAGCCCCAACAGGCAGCGCATGGACATCTACTGCGTGATCGACGGACATGACTATCTCCTCGGTGTCACTATCACCTACCCCTGCCGACCTGACGCCTCCACTATCCCTTTTCACCGGACGGTGAACCGGCGCGGCGCGCAGCTGCCTGGTGGGAAAGCAGCAGGACTGGCGGAGAAGGAGAAGATCGACAAGTATTGTCCTGCCGCCCGTGCAGCCGGCTTTCGGTTCGTCCCTCTCGCGACGGAGACATTCGGCAGATGGGGAGAGAAGACGATGGATTTCCTGAAGATGCTGGCCAAGCGCAAGCCCCGCCCCACTTCCATCCCCGCCGATGAGGACGGAGCTTTCCGCGAGAGTGTCATCAAACATTGGAGCCAACTCCTGTCCGTCGAGCTTACGAAGCACAACGCGTTCCAGATGGCCAGCCGAGCGCAGCGCGCCGCAGCCGCCAGAGGTCCTCGGAGGGCCCACGCCTTCCCAGAAGACTTTGTCAGCCGCGGGCCATACAGGCCCCACACCATCCCCGCCTCTGTGCTATAAGCAGGCGGGCGGGTGCTTTCGTGCACGGTTGGTGTTTGGGGGTGTGTGTGTGTGTCTCGCGTGTGTGTTCTCGATGTTTTGCCTTCTTCCGCGTGGCTTGCAATGGTCTATTGATTGGAACGCTAGTGTCTTTGGTTGAGACGGACTTCGTCGCCCCTTTGTGTCTTTACTTATACAATGTCTACCAACACGCCCCCATGTGTAATTTGGCTGTTTCTCGGCGGTTTCTCCTTCTCTCTGGATGAGAGAGCACGTGTCTGACTACCTCCAACCCCCTCGCTCCCAGCTCCCTGTAAAGCGAGACGCAGACGAGCCCCCATGTTGCGCATGCAACGCGAATGGACGGACTCAGCTGTGCCAGAGAAACTGCTCATGCCGCCAGAAGGGAGCCCTCTGCACTAACCGTGTCAACTGCAAGCGTGGTACCTGCACGAATTTTGTGTATCCCATGCACCCAGTGATTTGCAATGGTGATGCTGAATCTTCCCCTTCCGACGGCCCTGCCGCACCCTCCCCGGCCTCCTTCGTCGATGACAAGATGCAGGAGGCCTTCGGCGAGCCCCTCGTCAACTCGCCCGGCGATGCGGGCTTTCCTGAGTGGGAGGAGTATCATCAGCGGGTCTGTCAGCTTCGCCTACGCTGTGTGACCCTATCCGATGGCAACCTTGGGGAAGCTATTGCTGATGCTGTCGCTGACGAGGTGGAGAGCATTGCCGGACAGGAGGCGCCTGCAAAACGGCTCTTCGTCTTCATCCGCACACTGATCCAGCGAGATCCCGATGTGCGGCAAACCAAGGACATCCGCCGGGTGGTCTGGCGGCGGCTGGAGATGTGGCGGGCCGGGCTGGTGGAGGAGCTCTGCGAGGCTGAGCGACTGGACCATCAGCTCGCCACCACTCAGCCCCCTCTTGACGACGAGTCCGTCTACCGCATCTTCAACAGACTCATGCTGCAGGGCAAGATCCGGACGGCCGTCCGCTTCGTCACAGAGAAGGGGGGGCGGGGGTGTCCTCCATCCGTCCGCTCAAGCTGAGAAGCGCCCACCAGGCGTCACACTGCTCGACGTCCTTCGCGAGAAACACCCACCGTAGCAGCAGCCATGCGAGGAGGCCTTCCTTCCCTGCGACTCCCTCCCTCCCCTTATAGACGTGGACATCACTGACTCAGCGGTGGAGCGCACTACACGAAGCCTGAGCGGGAGCGTTGGGCCGACTGGAGGCGACGCGGACTTCTGGCAGGGGCTCCTG